AACTTGGCRTGCTGTGAATTCTGATATAGTGGTTGCCTGTTTCCTAGCCTGTGATCTGGGTTTTCTTTGCTTTGCCATAAGCAACAAACAAAGAATGAAAAGGAAGTGTTCTCTGAAAGATATCTCCTTCACAAGCTAGATCAGTGAGCCCCAGTGACTTCCATCCTGCTATGTGTTGGAGGTTGGGAGTGTGAGGTGTGTGCCTCAGGGCTGGGCTTCCAGCTTTGCTATGCAAGTTGCCCAGGGAATGAGAGTTGAGTGGGTGAGTGAACGTATTCATCTGCATTATTTTCTTGCCTGTGTGCACAGATTTCCCCTCAAAAGACTGCAAGGAGTGCAATCACCTGAAAATCAAGAATGCTTATTCCTATATTTTCTGGTTTTCACCCAAGGGAAACCGTGTCTCTATTTGCTCATCACTGAGCGATCACATGTAGATTTTTTCCTCCTAATTATGAGATGGGGTGTGCACAACTGTCACAGGAAACCCTTTGCACCTGTTCCAGCCTTGTGCATTGACCACACTGCAAATCAACTTGACCAGACTCTGCTAGTTGTCCAATATTTCAAAAATCATTGTTTCCCATAATTCTGCTTTGTTCAGGGTTGGTTGAGTTTTATTTTGTTTTGGGCTGGATTTTTCTTGGTTTTGTTGTTGGGTATTTTTTTTAGGTTTTTGGTGGAGGGTTTTTCTCCTTTTTTGTCTTTCTTTTTCCTGCTGTTTGTGTGTATGTGTGTGTTTGTGTTTTTGTTGTTCTTGTTTAAAATGAATGGTTAGCAAAAGACTTGGCATAGAAAGGACCAGATTCTACAAACTGGTGAATTATGGAGCACTTGGCAAAGTCCTGCTGGCATGCATGGAATGAAGTCTGTCCTGTAGCTGTTAAGTTGCCTTTGTTTTGCAGGGCAAAGTATTATTTATTGGGAATGGTGGAAATGGGTAGGATTTCACTGTTTCACTTTCAGTTTTTTCTTTTTTGTGTGTATGTGTTCGACCTTATCTGAAGAAAGGCAATCTCTGCAAAGCTTTGCCGTGGGTGTGGAAGTCCTGTTTGAAACAGAGATCGTATTTTTCCAGCATGGGATTTTAAAGTTCAGGTTGCATCCTGTAGCTTGGAAGTTATATATTAATAAATTTTAGGTCCAAAGGGCTTGTGTTACCTTGTCTTGAAGTTCATAATCTGATGAACCTTTTTTCATTTCTCTTGCATTTCTTCTGTGCTGAACTACAGACACACTGGTCTTGTTGGTCAGTTTTCTTCTTTTTCCTTTTCCATTTTGAGGAAACCTGGCGCTTTTACTGAGAGCAGTGCTGGTAGGTTATTTATATATTCTGCCTAATTATTTCATGACTGTTTGCATTTTTTCCATCTTACAGATAAATCAGAAGAACTAGTTCAAGCCTCAGTAAAAGCCACTGTGCATTTGTGTGTTAGAACTAGCTGCTTGTTTTCATTGTCTCTGTCTCAAAGACTGGATGGAAGTGTTCATGTAACCATGAGTTAAATCTAATCATAGCTCTGGGGTGTTCTCACTTGTAATTCCTCCTRTAGACTAGAAGCAGGTACAGGGTCTTAACAGGTATCTCAGTAGTGAGCACAGTGAAAGATGTTTGTGAGCAGAAGGTGGCTGTTGAACTAAATTTAGTTTGAATTTGTCTTACACTGAAGAATGGTATGCAGCTTTTTCATAGTATGTTGTGTTTATAGCATGGAAAGTACCCTTGCTTCCCATGCTTAAAAGGGGCTTTTAAATCACTCACTTTCTTTGTGCATTATTCCAGGGGGTTACAATAAGGCTTTTATTACAGAGGGCTTTGGTATTGTCCTTTATAACCATTGTTGCTCTGACAGAGAAAGATGAATTCTTTTTCTCACTTGCATTCAATAGAATTAACAGGCTTTAGGCACCTTCTGATGGCAGTTGCTGGAGCCTGTCAGAAAAGGCAGCTGCTCATGCCAAATCCAAGGTAGAGCTAGATCTGTGGGTTTCAGTCTGCGATTTGTGGAGCTACATTCTATTACTGAGATGTTTTAGAAAGTTGGCTAGGAAATCCAAATCTGTGCCACRTACCACTCCACACATATGAACTGGAGAGGGATCTGCTTCCACTGAAATAGTTTGAGAGCTGTCATTTGGAAAATGTTGAAAACAAGGCATTTAAAGCAGTCACAGAGAGTGTGTAAGTCACTATTGTGGAAAAGTTCGTATGAGGTCACCTGAACTGTTGCTAGGTTCGAGGGACTGMAGTGGGAATATTTTCCCTTTTCCTTTCTCTGATGTCTCTGAAGGAAATAGACCTGCCCTGTCCTTTCTGTGCAAAAGAAAAGGAGGGTTGTAGTTTCTAAAAGGCCTTGTCTGCATAATGCCAAAAAGAATATGCATTGTTCATGTTCTAGGGAGTCGAAGGGGACATCGTTGGTCTCTGTATAAGCTGATGCTTTTGTTGGTATGATTTCTGATTTGCTGACACATTGTGCACACTGTCCTTCTCCCAGCCCCATCCCCAGCCAGTTTTATATGCCTGTAACTGAGAATTGGCTGTGGAGTACTTAAAGAGTTTTTTAAAAAATTAAAAATTAAAAATCACACTCTCATTGAGGTGTCTGACCTGCAATTTCTACAGTTAACGCTAACAGACAAACACGTTGTGTAGCATACTCCAGATTTACTTCCAGCTCCTTCACTAGCTTCAAAACTCAGTCTTTCTCCACGTCTTCCCTGAAGTTTCAAGTGTCTTCAGCTTCAGCTGATTTCAGTTTCATGGCTGTTTTATTACCATTGCTTTATTTCTCCTATCTTTGTTCACTGTGAGATGTGGAATTTACAAGGTGGATCATAATTACAGCTGGTTGTGCCAGGCTCAGAACACATCTTTTCTTCCTGCTTCTTTTCTTCCTACCCSCTTTTGGTGCTTTGTCAGGAGCACTGTGTTGAAACTATCTCCACGTTATAGAACAAGCTTTAAAAACAGAAGTTTGCTTTAGGAAACAACTTCTGTAGCTACTTATATTGATGCAGTTGATATTATGAAGGGCTATAATTACACGGTTCATAAAYTGATGTGAAGTTCTTACTCTGCATGATTGTAATGCTGTGTTGGCATGAATCTGGATGTGTGCAAAATTCCCATGTCTCTCATCATCTGCTTGCAAACAACAACTGTAGCTAAAGGTAAGGGGATATAACCAGAAAATAAATCCCAATTTCTTCTTTTTTTTTCCCTTCATTAGACAAATAAATTAAGACTTTYGTTCATAGAGAGTCAAGGTAGTTAATTACTTGTCAAAGCCCTGAACTTATAATCACCTCTGTGGGGAGGAGTGTAGGAGCTGCAAGTGGGTGACTGATGACTTTTTGCCTCACTCAGTGTACATAGGATAAAAACTGAACGTTCAAGGAAATTTTTGGTGAAAGAGAAATTTCTCTACACAAGTAAATAAGGCAGTACCTCTCCCTAYATATCTGTAGAGAATGCTATTTGTTACACACACAGGAAAGGCAGAGTCTTCATCACTGCTGATTTTACACTGCCTTGCTGAGCTCTCACTGAAATGTGCATTTTCAAGCCACTGTAAAAAAATTTTGCAAGTTGAGACATGTCACAGAAATTRTTGGTCAAATGCAAATACTGAAAAAAAAAGTATGGAGGGGTTGGATTGCTTCTGAACAATTTTTTGCTCGTTTGGTTTGGATTTTTTTATTAATGTGATATAGCTATTACTTTTTTCCTCTGCCAGGAGCTTACAGTGGTAATCCAAACTCTGTGTTTAGTATTTTTATCTGAGATGTTACCTCGTATTGAAGAAGTGTTTGATTCAGTATTTCTGTTTGTCATTTAATTTTTTTCCCCTAAAAACAGTTTTGCCTTTGGCTGATTTGACCACTAAGCTTTTCYGGCTTTTAAGGGTTAGAGTTCTTTTTCTGTACTCTTCCTTTCYGGACTTCAGTTTATGTTGTTTGCAGGGCAAAAATGGTGTGCAGAATCATAATCTCCTCCTGCACCTTAAAACAGGCAGATTAAAATGTGCAGGCGGTAGAACTTMATAATAATTTCTGAGTAAATATTTTACCGTTTTTTCCATCTGTTACACTAAAATCTGACTTAAACTAAGCATAAATCTAGTCAGAAGAGGTCACTGGAGTATTAATCATCAGAGTTAATCCTCTTAGACATGTGTTTGGTGTGAGGCCAGCTATTCAGAAGTTTAACAGCACACATATGTTGCTTATCTGTCTGGCCTCTTGCCAGCGAAGCAAACTCGGAGTCTGTGGTGGGTTTATATCTCTGTAAAGTACACTGCTTGTTTGGTGCAAGCTGATGCAGCTTTTCTTATATCACACATGGTGCATAGCCTGCTACTGGAGAATGAGTTCTTTCAGGGTGCTTTCAAAGAACTCCAGTCTTGCTGTTGTGTGGTAAGAAGCGATACCATTCACAGTTGACCTTTCACGGTGATTCCCCCAGGAGTACGATGAGCCAGATTTGACACTACCAACTCAGAGCAGAGGAAGAGACAATATTTCAAGTAGAGTAATACTGAGCAACCCAAATATAGCTGAATGAAACCTCACCCTGCCTTCACTCCTGCCATTCTGACTTGGAGGGAGCATTYGTGTATGTAAATACAACTCTTTCTTGAGTCAGGTCTGGACTGGACCCAGCATTTCTGTTTCTCACTTCATAGGAGTATGYTTCATACTCGACAGAAAAACGATTATATCATATCCTAATTATGGAACTGATTCATCCCCTGGGGCATGGAAAGCAAACAGTAGGAGTGAGTACATCATTAAAAATTAGCGTGTTTTTAGAGAGGAGGTAAAAATAAAAGTGCAACTCCACTGAAAACTTTTCATGATAAAGAAAAATTACTTGCATTAGAGGAACTTCTTAAAACAATCTGAGATTTTGGCCAAAACAACATGTATTTCCTAGTAACACACCTGCATTTTYTTGCAAGAAATTATTAATTTTCTTCTTGCCTTTCTTTCTCAAGGAAAAGAATGAAAGCTCGTGCTCCCCCTCCACCAAATCAACCTCCTGCAGCAAGTAGAATTCACAGTGAGCCCAAGTCACCTGCAGAGACAGCTGTAATTGCTGATCAGAACCTTGTGAGCATGAAGGAGAACATGATAAACAGACTGGTGGACTTCACAGTTGTTTTACCCAGCGGGGTGGAGCAGAAGTGCACAGTGCAAGGAAGGTAAGCCTTTGATTAGCTCTCACTTTTTGAAGCCCTTTGTTCCCTATGGGATATTTGCAGATGCTGTCAGTCTTTCTGGGTTTATGGGGCTTCTCTGTCATGCTTTTCTCTGCATTGTAAGCAGCTGTTGCAGCAGAGAGTCCTGAGARCCATATATAAAGGACCCTCTCTTCTGAGGCAGGAAGGATTTAGCAGCTATGGCATCACTGTTTTCCCCATGGATCACCCTCAGCACATGTAGGGATCTGTCTCTTTCATGTAGCGCCACTGGGTTTAGTTTGTATCACATCTCCTAATCCAGAGTGGGCTCCGTGCAGTGCAAGTAGGTGCTGCTGGCAAACTGTGCTGACAGTGTGAGTGCCTGGAGCCCGGCCAGGAGCAGGAACAGGGGTGATTCATGGAACTCAGAGATCCCGCCTTCACAAATACATTGCAGTTGCGTGGACAGCGAAGCAGCTGCTCGTATTTGGAAGCCTTTTATATATGAAAGTGTAATTTTTTCCATGAAAAGAGAGAGGGATTCTCCTTGTTACTTACTGGGTACAATCAAGAGCATATTGGAAAGGCAATTCTGAGATAATTATCTTCACTATGGGAGCTCTTCTTTATCCTCATTCTTTCTGTGTAAATTGTTTTGAAAGAGGGAGACATTACTTTTGGAAATAATATGGAAAAGTTTCGAAAATATAATCAGTGCTATGATGGAACTGTAGCAAAAAATGTTGTGGTTAAGAGTAGTCAAGAAACTGTAGAAAGGGGAACATGCAGAGGATATGTAGGTGCCTGTTGATAAATCAGATTCTATGTTTGTTTTACATTTGTTGTTTTCAGTAGTTAGTCTGTGTTGCAGCAGAACTACACTTTCTGGTCTGATATATTRTTCTGTTTTGACTGCTTGCCTCATAGTGTGTTTTGATGGCTGAGAAGGATGTGTAAAGCAGTATTTGGTGTTTGGGACTTCATTCTTCCCCCTGCACTGATTGTATAAACTGACATTCACTTATCCACTGTCAGGAGACAAGTGCAACTTGTGTGTCCCCACCCCAAAGCCAGAGCGAAGTTAAAGGTTTGAAAGGAAAGCAGTGCTTATCAGAGCTCTCAGATTAGGTGTGTATTGATGGGGGGTTTTATGGGAAGATTTGAACTTAATGAGAGAAAGAAGAGAACAGGCCTGGTAAGTGGAACAGGACATGAAACTCACTGGCCACTGGATCCCAAAGAAAGGTGGCATTTCATTGGCAATGCAAGCCACCTGGGAGTGACAAGGGGTCAATATTTGTGCTGCATTTTGTATTGAGAAAWAGATAATTGCCATATGGTTAGAAACTATTTTCCCTCAAAAATTATAATCCCGAAACAAGCAGTCCAAGAGCRCTGTAAGAGTGGCCTTTTAATGTGACTTTTTGAAGACAGTAAAAGCTRCTGGAGCAAAGAACAAATAGAAAGTCCCTGTACAGTAAATACTCTGTGTCTCACCCAGGTGTTTCACACGTGTGTGTCACATACTCTGAGAGTGTGTGTTGTTTGTTAGAGTCTTAGATCTGTGGACTAAAACCTGAAAGAAATGGTGAAAATGAAACTTCACATGTTTCTGTGAAGYTATTTTTATATCATCTGCATGAAGCATTCTAAGGAACAAAAATGTTCTCTTTGTTGTCTGTGGAGGTGCTCATTTCTCTCCAGTGTCTGCATGACAGGTCTAGACCTCTGATTTAGGTGGCAATTAAATTCCTCCGTGTGTTAATGTCCTAATCTGCACATCATTGGTGCCTAACCGAGGCAGTGGCTCTTCTYCCTCAGTGCTGTCTTGAAGACTTGGAGTGGAAAAGTTAATGATGCTGCCAGCCAGCTGTGGGAAGTGGAAGATGACAGAAGCTGAGGAAGGGGAGTTATTCATCCTAAGAAACTATGAAATAAGAAAGGGATGTTCTGTAATGAGCCCTGTATTATAGTGGCATCAGTCTGTGAACAGACCTCATTTGTGCTGCTATTCCTTTCAATCAGTGGAAGATACCATTTTCTGTRTGTTAGCACTGGTTATGTTTTTAGSTATGTGGAATAGTAAACAATAAAAATGTTATGACTATCTGAATTTTTTAGGGGGTGAACCTGTCCTAAGTCTCCAAGTCTGGGTGAAAGGCCAGACTTTTTTGTATAAACTTTCAACTTTTTGCATTGTTTTGATGTTGTGGACTAAACAGCCATGAAATAAAATGATGCTCAGAGGTAAGCATTAAATGATTAAAGTACTGGATTTTTAAAAATGTGGTGGTTTGGGTTTTTTTTTTTTAGTTTGAGGCAAGCATAAGAGCCAGGGTAGGTAATGAATTATATTCCCTGTTCCTCATTTTATCTCTGGTGATGCCATGTAAGGACATTTCAGAAAAATCTGCTGTTTATACTGCTATAAATCTTCAGTATTTTTGTTGCCATCATTAAAACTGTGTTCTGCAAAATCTGCTTTTGGCTACCCTGAGGAAATAGCTTTTCTGTTTCAAAAAAATTTGCAAATCCTTGCCCTGGGCATATTCATAATGAAAAATGATTCTGTAATTTCAGGAAAGYAGTTCACAGAACAGAACAATGAAGTACACTAGATTATATTTGAAAATATAAATACTGTAGTTAATTAGCATCACTTAAGGTTATTACAAATGAACTAAAAGTAAAAGTTATGATGTCTTTCAATTTGTTCATTGTATGTAAGCAAAGCAACATGTTATTAATTTAACTTTGTTCTCTGTGTAAAAGGTTCCTGTAARTATCAGCAAGAGGGCAGAAAAATCCTCATTATATTTTCTTGAAAGACAGTTTAAGAAAAAAAAGTGTGTGCTACTTAAAGATATTTCATCAGAATCTGGAACCTTGAAAATGTTTTACTTATGAAGGTTAACTCAAGCTGACAGTCTCTCTTTAAGAGTTTATTGCCATCTTGTAACACACAATTTGTATGAGATTTTGGAAATATGCAGTGGAGTTTTTAGTACAAAGCTGAGTCTTTAGGGGCTTGCATGTAGCAATAGAATAGTATTAAAAACCAGTGTTTCTTTTTAAATAATTGTTCCCTGGGATCTGTACACTAAAACATGTATAAGTGTTCATGAAAAACTGTTAGCCTACTTCCCCTTAAAAAGGATTATAGATTATCCCCACAACTATTCTGTTTGTACTTGTGTACGGRCATTAAMWGATRTGCTGAAARGATRGCTAAAGCATTGGCCACTTACACAKTTTATGCATAGAGATTTGTAGCAGGTCCACACAAATTGTTAACAGGTCTGACAGAGGTCATGGACATAGACATTTAGGTGGAAAAGAAGTGAAAAAGCTCCCAAGTTATCAGAAACTTTTTCTATTTGTGATTCTCACAGATAATACTTTCAGTRGGTAACCTGCAAATAAAGGGATGGTGCATCTGTCTGTGTTCACACTGAGTGGCGCTGAGGAGGCCTTTCTCTATCCACAGATACAGGCATTAAGTGTCAGCAGCTTGGGAACTCATTAGTATTTGAAATGTTTGCTGGAAAATGGGATGTTGGAAGCTAAATGATGTTTGGTTTGGAGTTGTCAACTCATGGCTGACCAATATGCAGAAAAGTGAACTGGGCAGTTGTTGCTCCTGCTGTTGTCTTAGAGTTACACCAATTCTCTCATACACAAGATGCACACAGAGCAGGACACTAGAAGAAAAAATAAACTAGCTGAAGCTGTAGTCCCTTTCTGCAARTACTGGAGGACAGAATTCAGTACAGAGTATGCTTTATATGGAGCATAAAGCTGGTATCATCACAGAAAGAATATTCTCATAATAAACTCTTTATTGTGGGCTTGTAGCTCAACACACAGCATGGTGTCTCAGGAAAGACTGAAGGTGTGAAATCAGCCCAGGTTGATAAAACATGAAAGAGGAGATGTTAGAAGAAGATAAACAGGGCACATGGCAAAAGGATTAAAAATTAGTTTAACCAAACACTAAATAAGTGTCAGGTCAAAACTGCAGTAGTTCAGCTAAGGGAAGAAAATAGTTGTACTGGAATAATTTATGTTGGAAGAGGGCACCAGAGCACACAATCTCTAGGCAAGTTTGAATACCTTCAGGGAGGAGGTTTCTGGATTTCTCTGTACCTCTTTTCCAGGTCTAGAACCATCTTTATGGAGACAATATGTTTTCTGACACCTAAATGGAATTTCCTGCATCAGCACTTGTCTCTTGCCACTTGTCCTCTTGCTGTTCACTGGCATGAAGAGTCTGGCTCACTTCATGCTCACAGGCAGCAGCAAGATCTCCCTTCTCCTTTCTTGTCCTAAGGCTCAACAAGCACAGTGCCCTGCCTCTTCCTGTGTGTCATYTTGATGTTCCTTCTGTGGTCTTGCTCAGTTATGGAAAATAAGAGCCAAATGTTCATGAGCAAGCTAAGGAAAGAAAAGGAAAACATTTATGAGAGCCATATTTATCAAGCTTCCTGAACTTTTTGGATAYAGCTTGTTACTTAGTGTGTATATTTTTGGTTGTGTAGAAAAAGTTGTAATTTTTTCATGAAGTAGCTGTACTTTGGAGCATGAGAAAATAATAATGACTAATGCAGTTATCTKGTTTAAATGCAAATTTAGTGAAAGAATTAGAGATTTCAGGTCATCCATCCCCTTTTCACTATTACATTTCTTTTCCAGTTATTTGCTATTGTAGATTCCTAGTGTATGTTGGGTATTTACCTAAATAAAGAAGATTCTTTTGTCCAGTTTGAGATTTATATTTTTTAATCATAGAATCACAGAATGGTTTGGATTGGAAGGTACCTTAAAGACCATCTGGTTCCAATCCCRTGCCATGCACCAAAGACTTGTTCAGAGCCCCATCCAATCTGGCCTTGAATGCTTCCAGGGATGGAACATKCACAACTTCTCTGGACCAGTTCCCATGCTTCACCACCCTCACAGTGAATAATTGCATCCTAATMTTGAATCTAAATTCACTCTCAGTTTGAAGCCATTACCCCTTGTTCTATCACCACATGCTCTTGTGAAAAGTCCCTCTCCAGCTTTCTTGGCCCCTTTAGGTACTGGAAGGCATTTGTAGCATGAAAGTAGAAGGTAAAAAGAACGTTGGTTTAATTTGGTAGAATATAACTTCACCCTTCATGTTTATGTTTAGATGTACAAGGCATTATTTTAAAATGAATTACTYTGTGTGATCTACAGAGGTGAAGCCAAACCACACCCAAAACAGTTCAGTTGTTTTATTCTTCTTAAAAACCATAGGCCTTTCCTGCATTTTATTGGAGAACAGGAAACAAGCAGTCTGCTCAAACTTGATCAGAATTTCAGCACGATAAATATTGCTGACAAAGTAGTTAATCTTTACTGTACAGAACTGGTGTTGAATGTCAAACACCTTAGTGACAGAATATCAGCACAGAGCCAAAGTGCTCTCCTTTGCTAAGAATAGTCATATGGACCCTCTTGTCTGAGTCTTGAATTGAGTTCACTCTCCAGTTTTGCTGTTGTGCTCTAGTATTTGCTTATAAGTCATTAACCTTTGGTGAMTATTATGTAGTGTTTGTTCTCACCACCAAAAATTTCAGCAACATCTTACTAACATGAAAAAGTGTTTCTTAGCTGAGCAGTTGGAAAGGCAGGAGATAGTTAACTTGTTCATTTCAGCTTTAGATTTAAGACCTATCTGAATTTCAAAACAGAGTATGCTCTGTACCAGATATCAAAGCAGGTTAAAATGAAGTGCAGATCTGTGTGAAACAAGATGGAAGAACAGGAAGGATTGACTCTTTGCATCTTYCAGGAGCCATATTCAGCCCAAGCATAGAAACAAAAGTTGGTCTAGATTAGTAGATTACCATTCTYGTGCTGTTTTTGATCTTCTGTGCGTGGCATATACATGGAGATACGTGAAATAAATCTCCCATTTAAAATCAAGCTGAACTATATTATGTTTTAAGAGGAAAATTTTTCAAGATGGTGCCATTGAAATCTGATATAAGAATAACTTCATTGCAAGGATTTCCCAGCTCTCTTACTTAGCTTGAAACCCAGTAATTTTGAACTCTGGAATTACCCCTTCGCTCTTTTCCTCTTTTCCTCCCTCATTCCTCTCCCCTTTCCATTCTCCCCTCTTTTCTCTTTTTTTGTTATACCTCAGAAGTTTTGTGAAAAAATTTCCCCAAATTTACATTTTTTCAAGAGCATACTGTTTGCTTTGAAGGTGTTTCAAAAGCTTCAGCCGTACTTTCAAATGGTACAGATGAAGGCTGGGGATGCTTTTCATGGAACAATTGTGTATTCTGAGCAGCACAGCACTGGTTGGGATGCTGCAAACTTCCTTAAGTGTTATGTTTAATGCATTTCTGCTCATAATCAGCAATAAGATGAAACCTCAATTTGACTGGATTTTTGATTTGTCCATTGTCCAGACAAATTTGTTTGAGTTGCATGATTGTCTGCAGCTTATTTTCTCAGATGGCTGGTGTGGATTCATCTTCTTGTAGTTTTGGTGCTGTTGCAGCTGAATCTATTTTATAATTTCAGTGGTATTTTGATGAACTATATTGTCTTTGCAAACACTTTTTCAAGAGGCAAGAAAACTGTRCATATTTGAATGAATTATCACATTATTATGCACTACAGAAATGTATTAGTTCCACTTTAAATAAGAATGTCAAGCACATAGGACACCAGGTACTGTGATTCTGCCAGGTTATTTACTTTTCTCTGAAACAATAGTAATAAGGCTGAGGGAAAACAAACACATGCAAATTTTAGTGTAAAAGAGACATGTCTGTAAACAGACAAGTTGAGATGTGTATCAGGAGAACTGAAAAGCCCTTTCAAAGTGTTCTGCTGCATAGTTTAATGAATATTCATATTAATACTGTTCTAAGTGGGATTCACCTGTAGTTTGGACTTAGTAGGYGTAAATGTCTGTGGGTTTGTGGTGTGTAGCATATGAATTGTTATGAAATACAGACATTTTCGACCTGGACCAAGAGCCAGATTGGTCATCATGAAATGACTTGATGCAGTTTTGATTTGGGAGCTACATGTTTGTATTTGTGCTCTCTCTGTTCGCAGTTGCTGCAGTGCTCTGTTTTTCGGAAGCGTCTATCCATATTAATGACATCTGTTTTTCTTATTTTATTTTCAGTCATCATCTTCTCACTGTGTTCTTCTCTTTTCAGTGAGGTCCTATATTTTCCACACTTGCCACTTTTCCAGCTCTCACTGTGTAACTCAGTTAAACTTGACAAAGGTTACTGTAAAGAAGGTCCTTTCTCTTCCCTTGGATGGGAAGAGCCATCACTTACCTATTAATAAGGAATTGCTCTTATTTTCCATTTCTGTTGTCTTTGTCATTAACCCTCCAGGGTCCTTGACCAACTTCTTGATGAGTTGTTGGCCAAGAACATACATGAAAGAAGAATTGGTGGTCCCCCACAGAGTAGTTTCCCAGATGCCAACAGTTTGCATTCTGAAKGGTAATTCTTGAGCTACAGATGCAATGGTGCTGGCTAATAACCTGTGGAAGATTTTATTTTCTTAGAATTTGCTTGCATTTTGAATCTATATACAGTTTTTTCCATTTTAAACACTAGAAGAGGTGCCAGTTGTTTTGGCAAATACGCTGTCTATGCATTTATTTTGACTTCTGCTAGAAGAGAAATATCCCACTTGTCTATGATAGGTTTCAGCTATAGCTGGTATTTTTTTTTTCAGCTCACATTGTTTTGTTGGTGACAGACACTGGGTWATGAAACCAAAACTTTTTATAAAAATGACCAGTTTTAATAATCCTGTTTTCTCTGATCCTGTACAGAATTTTTTGGGGGAGGGCTGGGAAAATAAAAGCACCCTTCAGTACYATGGTAGAAGAGAATTTCTGGGGTGTGGGGGAGCACAGTTCTTATCTGTTGTATTGGGCAGTATCAAGCTCCAGTGAATATTGAGCTCTTGACACAAAATGGARTGCCTCTGTTCAGAGGCACRAAATAAGGACATTTGCTGRCTCTTTTAAAACCCTATGGATTAASAATCATACTGCAGTAAGAGTTACTGATAATGCAAGCACTCAAACCCAGATGGTTTTGTACAGGATTAATATCTTCACCAAAATAAGTATGGATAGGATCTATTGTACTGGAAAATATTGCTGGTGTCAAATGGATTTGGAGAACTCAAAGTTGTAAACTGGAAAAATAAGCCCTGTCTACCATTTATTCCAGATTTAAGTGCTCCATTTTGCGTTCTGTGATTGTTCAAATCTAGGAGTTTACTGGATTGTGAGTTCGTAATTTATTCATATCTTGTCTTCACATTACAGAACAGGATTTGAATTGGAGAGTTCAGTGTATGGATTGGGTACATTATGATGCTTGGGTCAGCTCAGTTGGTCTGAGCATGGTGCTCATAACACCAGGGATGTGAGTTCCATCCATATGGGCCATTCAGTTAAGAGCYRGACTTGAYCCTTGTGGGTCCCTTCCAGCTGAGAATATTCCCTGTTCTGTGGTCTGGAAATAGATAAGGTGCATTCTGTCTGCTCTTGGCCTATGTTTGTTAGTGCTGTGATCAGCACTGTTGTCTGCCTCACTGTGAATAGGTAGTTGTGAGCTCATAAACAGAYGTTGAAGTGTGAATGTATTTTGTTCCTGAATCGTTTATCATTTATCTGATCTGTTTAACATTTTAAAGCACTAACACTGTTCGCTCCCAGAGATGGTTAGCGAGTGACACACGCACAGCTTGTGCTGTCTTTTATCCCCCCATCTTAAAACTGAGGTAAATTTCGTAGAAATTTTTCTCTTTCTAACGGTGAATGTCTTCTTCTTTGTAGTAAAGCTGTGATGGATGTGTTGGTTGATTTGTGCAGCCAGTATCGCTTAAATCCATCCCAACATAGTCTTGAATTGAAGTCTTCAGGAGCTCAACAAGTTCTGAGTTACAAGCCGAACACTTTGATAGGAGCACTGGATGTACAGACAGTACTTCTGAAAGAGAAGATTCCCGAAGAGAAGGCAAAGCGACCTCTGCCAAGAGTCCCTGAGGTCAGTGCTCTGTGGGGCCAAAATGGTGCCATGAAACATCATTTCATTTCTATAATTTCAGTTCATCCAATATTTCCATCTTTAAACCAAATGGAGAAGACTTGGGGTTGACWATAACCTGCTTTACTAGTTCAGCTSTTTTGCATGCTGATTGGCAAATGCTAGTCTAGACATTTAGACAAAATGTTATATTGCATGTGGTTGGATAGATGGAAATCTAGAGATTGGGATGATTGAAAATTGCACCAATGGCTGAAAGGAGGGTTGTGGGGTTGTGTGAACATAGAGTTTGGGAGTTATTTTGTGTACCATCTTCATTGAAGGYATGGGAGAAGACTGATCAGTAATAAATGTATTTCACAGCATAGTGAGGATTGAGAAGTAATCATTTTCCAAATGTTTGCTGAATTTTTTTATTGTCCTTAATAAATATATCTAATTATACTCTCCCACCTTTCAGAGTGGGACTTGTAAACATTCACATTACATCTGCCTCTTAATTTCTTCCTTCGCATATTCTTGTGAATGTTTCCTTAGTGGAAAGGAGATTTTATTATTTTAAAAAATATTTTTTATTATTGGGGGTTAGTTGGTCTAGGAGTGATGAGGACAACATGGAAATGCCCAGTRCTTTTCTCAGTGTAAGGGGGCCTATGCATCACAGAAGGGAGACTGAGAGTTTGTGTTTGTTTCTGCAGAAATCTGTGAGGCTGGTRGTGAACTACCTGAAGACACAGAAGGCTGTGGTTCGAGTTAGTCCAGAAGTGCCTCTCCACAACATCATCCCAACTATTTGTGAGAAGTGTGAAGTCAGTCAAGAGCACATTGTTCTTCTGCGAGATGGCATCACTGGGGAAGAGCTGGAGCTTACCAAGTCCTTGGAGGAGCTAGGGATTAAGGAGCTGTACGCCTGGGACAGGAAAAAAGGTGAGCCAAGACTGAAAATGGTCACTGCAGAGTTATATGATGTGACAAAAATATTATGGGCAATTTAAAAGCAYTTGTGCTGCCATTCTTTTGGGGTCCAGCTGAAACAGCAGAGTGAGATCTCAGTCCGGAGAGCAGCACAGGTTTGTTCAGTGAGCTGTGCCCAGAGCAGCAGCCAGGTCAGCAACGTGCCCAGCCGTCCTTGCTTGCTCTTGGGCCTTGTGCCAGGCTGGGCTGGACTCTGGCAGGGTGCAGGTTGGCCTGGGCAGAGCAAAAGGAGGAGCTTTGCTGTGTCCCAGAGCTGCTGTCGGTGGAGGTGTACGTAATACAAGGGGCCTCGGCCAGGCAGAGTCTGTCACCTGCCCGTGCTGTGCACTGGAGAGAAGGAAAGAAGAGACATGCCATAGTCATGGCAGCTGTGAAAGCTGAGAGGCAGAGGCGACAGAGCAGGGCTTATGAGAAACAGACTGGGTAGGATCAGATACGGTTCCTCCAAAGAGCGAAGTTACTGACGGTTTGGTGAAGAGGAGCTAAGAGGTATTTGTATTTAAAATTTTGTTCTGGTGTTTACCTATCCTTACTTTCTGTTCTCATAGACAAAATTGTAGTAGCAGCTTCCTAGAGTTGAGTTTTATCAGCGTGATTATGTATTCAAATAGCATAATTATGTGATGTGCTTTAAAATATACCCGCTTTAAAAACACACATTGACAAGCACTGCTTCCTTTGAGGTCAGAATGATATTCATTAAAATTGTCTCCTGCCGTTTGTCTCAATTGGTATCACTTCCAGCATAGTAAATGTCCTTATTTATTGTTTAGGTAACGTCTTTCTTGTAGGTGCAGAGCTGTAGGCTTATTTTTTATTTATARAATTATTTATTTATGTTGACATTCTGTCTCTTCTTTCCAACTCTTTGGTAAGTGACAGTTCTGCCTCTGTGCGAGTCAAATTTCAGTGAGTTTAGACTTCTAAGTAAACCAAATATCTCATTTTCTTTTGGATTGTTAGGATGTTCCAAAAAGAGGCTGACAACATGTCATAACTCAATTGCATGTTTGTTTTTTTCAAGACATGTTTACTGTAATTAGCTAAATGGTTAAGCTAAAGCATTTTGGAGCAACGTATTGAACATGGAGTGTATCCAACAGGATTCATTCAACATACTTCAGGGACAACTTATAGAGTAATTATCCTAAGCCTTTGTAAAGTCTTTCCTTTCAAATGAAAGTSATGGTGTGTATGCTCATGCATATTGGTCCTCAAATGTGGTTTTAGCCTATGCAGTCAAGACAAAGCCTTTACTACAAGGCTGGGATTATAGCAGCAGATTATCACAGAATATGCTGAGTTGTAAGGGACCCACAGAGATCTCCACATCACAATGTGCTGCTCTCTACCCCAGCTTTTATTTTTTAAATATTCTATTATTTTTTACACTTTCAGTATACCTTTCTTTTCATTACGATAAAATCCCCCTGATTCTCAGTATAATTCAACCTTTTATGCCTTCTTCTTACTCTGCACCATGGTGTCTGAGAAAGCCAGTAAATGTACATAAAATGTACAAGAATTTTTCCTTTGTGTCAACCAATTCCTTCTTCAATATTCTCATTTGTAATCTCCAAGAGGAATAAACCCATTGGTTTTAGTAGCAGTTGTTCTGTGGCTTGTGCATTGAGTGGATACCTGGCCTGTTTAGTTAACAGAAAACAGATTTTCTGAACACATTGCTACTACCAAGTAAAGCACCAGAGGTGCTGGAAGCCATAGGCTGTGCTTCTGAGAGCAGATTCTAGAAAAACTCACTTTCCTTCCCTGCAACAGAAAACACCAAGAGCTGAAGGATTATTAAAAGAGAAGCTCTACTGCCACCTGCTTACTTAATTYGATTTAGCAGCTGAAGCAGCTTCATGACTGAATCAGGAATTAAACAAATGCAGCTAAACTGCTTCAGCAGCAGCTCTGCATGTCTGCTGTYGGTCAACACTTTTTCTGTAATGCTTAGGAAAAAAGGTGCTAGGAATAATTAATGAATATTGTGCCTTACAAGAACTTGTGCCTTAGAACTTTAATATGTTTTCTCTTACCCTTTCATTGCCTGCCTTTTCCAGTTCCTCCATCAAAAACTCAGTCTGAACCTTCTCTGAACTATAGAGGTAYTGTACAATGCTGCTGAGGGAAACTTTACTCTGTGTTTAACTCTTTCACTTCACTCTATGCTTAATGTGCTTTTGGTAGATAGATATTTAAGAATGTYGAGTAAAATGCCATACAGAAACAAGCTGATTTTGGTCTGTGTTGTCTTCCCAAAGTGTTGCTTACATGTCTTGTGCCTCTGCTAGAAACACACTTCTATGCATACTCTCTTCAATAAAAGCCATTAAAATTCCAGAAAGTAACAAAATCTGCCATTTAACTGTTTTGTGGTGTGGTATGTCTCTATACAGATTCCAAGCCTGTTCAGTTTACCTAAATGATGATTTATTCAATTTCAGAATTACTAAAGTTTCAGARGTCTCTTGGGTTCAACATTTATTTAGTAGCAAAAGCAGAATATTTTGATGTCTGTGAGATCTTCCACTGATTTCAATTTACATGCAACAAAGCATTTTAATATCAAATATAAACATACACATTGGGTAACTGAATAGATGCTGACTTCTGAATTGTTATAATAGTTGGGGTTGGATTAGATTATACTGTTGCTTCTGCTTCCAGTCAAATAGAAAACGTGTGTATTTAGTATAACCTTTTCCCTATTGAGTCTGTTTTAATACATTGCTTAAATTAATTGTCCTCAAGAAAGGTATGGTTGATTTCTAGCAAGCTTTACCTCTTTGCACTATTAGTGTACACAACGTAACCAAAGTAAACGTGGAGAACTTGTTTAAATTTTTATGAAGGAAGTGCACATCAACAGCCATCAAGCAAATCTTAGCTCATTGCCTCTTGGCTTTAATAATGCCAGTATTATTCCCTCTATTYCTCTGTCATTACTTGCTGTGGCTTCCTCTTATATGGAGATCAATACTAGATGAAATATCTGCTATATTTATTTAAGAAAAATTTATACAATCAATAAAAACTCATTATTTTGATATTATATGCTGTACTTAAGTCCCTGTTTATTGGGATTACACAATGTTCAACCACTATGTCAATGATCAGCTGTTGTGTCAGCATTTCCAAAGCATTGTTTGTAGTTGAAGACTATGTGAGAAAAGGAATCATAATCCATTTCTACTTACAGCCCAACCCCAAGCAAGAAACCAGCATACATAGTGCTCAGTAATTAAGAARAGTATTAATTCATTACTCTATTTGTTTGCAGTGCAGTTGCAGCCTTTCTTAAGGATAATTTCACCATGTTTTCYTTTGGGTTCATCGTATGTGTTTAACACCTTCTAACACATGRRATTGTTTCTATGCAAAAGTGATCTRTGTGAAAATCACTTTGTGTTTTATGCAAATAATTTTACAGGAGTCCTGGGATGAGGTTCCTTCCTGATGAAGGAAACCTTAATTTTGTGTTAACAAGCAAGTCATTTTGAATTTGCTTTTTAGTTGTTACTAAGCAAATAYTTACAAGGGAAAGCATTTTTTTTCCTGTGAATTAAACTTTCTGAATGCTAGTGGGATACCCTAATGTGCTTGRAATCAGGAGGAAGGATTTATAGCATTATGCAGAGTCCATTTTAAAAAAAGCAAGAGTGCTTTATCGTCTGTGTATTAAATGAGTAATGTTGTTTCCTGTAATGCATGAGTGTGTTGCTTTGCTCATCCAGTTTGTGGATGAGAAACTGAAGGGGGAAATTGAAGGGATACTAAATGGYGTGCGAACTCATACAACTTCTTTAAGCAGGCTCAAAGAAGACACATTTGAGCTCTGAAATACCTAAAAAATATTTGAGCCTGAAATACCTAAAAACTCCCCTCTTTTCTCACCTRAAATAAAAGCACCCAGATAAGAAAAATGACCACAACCAGCTAGTTTATGTTCTAAGGAGATCCTTGTTTTCAAGGGGAAGGTCTTTTTCCTCTTTATAGAGGTCTATCCAAATTACACATTGAGAATCTCTCACTTAACTTCACAGTATTAAGTCACACCTATGAATTGTTAAAGATATTCACCATTATATCTTTTTTAAGTGTTTGGGATATTTTAGTATTAGCCTTACGGTACTCTATGAGATTTAATGATACATCAACCATTTATGAAGTCATAAGCAATTTGCTGTTTTGTCTTTTAATAAGGGTTACTGGATTGTGGTTGAAAACTCAGTGTAGTTTATGAAATTATTCCATTTGTCTCCRTTAGATTTTAGAGCATATTCAGAAGAAATGAAAGTTTGATGACAAAGTAAGTGCAGGATCTGGCAGTTACTTAGATCATCCAGTCTGTAACATTTCCTGTTCATAAAAATCCAGAATTAATCCAAGATGTTTTAAAATACTCATCTTCTGAACCTTTATTTCAAAAATGTAACAACTATTGCATTAAAATTGTTTCAGAACCAAACCGAAAGGCTTCAGTAAGCAGTGATGCAATAGAGAAAGAAAAGACAAGACTTTTGGGATTGTTTAATGCTGATAGAAGAAGCAGCAAGGTAAGTGTTCAACAGGGTACTTCTCGCTAAAGAGAATTTATTTCTTTCCAGATCTAGTATGTTTGTGGGTGGTGGCATTTCTTTGKCCTGCCTTCCTTTTCCTTGCAGAGAGTAAACTGTTAGCAGGTGCATAAACCATGTGTGCTCAGTGCAGCCTGCTGGAGGTACCAGCAGCTTATTGAAGGAGTCAAGGACGTTGACCATTTTCTTTTTTCTTTATTTTTTTTAGTGCTGTGAGTTCAGTAGGTGTTAAAAAAGGGCAGGAGTTTCAAGCAATCTATGTCTGCTTCATGTAGAAGCCTGCTCACATTATAAAATGCTTTTTTGAACGGACTGATGCAATAAAGAACATTAGATGTGTCTTATGACCTCTTCTGTGCATGGGTGATAATCTCTTTTAAAGCATTTATGTCTCTCAGAGGCTCTGTGCAGTCTCACTATTGCTATCCCCAAGTCTGTAAAGCCAATAAATCAGGTGTAGAAGAAAKAACTTGCAATACTGAACTGAAGGATCAGTGTCTGCTGGGGTACATGTTAGGCATTTTTAACTTTGTTTRTATTCTTGAATTGGAAAATTTAGGAAAGAGGTTTTGTATGAAATAATTCTGTTGAGATGCATTTATGAAGAGTATTTACCACAGGAATAAAATACAGAACTTTCTGACTCAAGAACATGGAAAAAATAGCAGGCTTTTAACTTTTTTTGCACCCTTTGCTAAAAATATTATTTTAGCTGATTTTGGTTGTAAAGCATTTAATACTTTAGGATGTCAGAGGCAAAGGAATTTTCTTTTTTCTAGTTTAAAGAACTCTCCAAGGCTTTTGGACTGGAATTACAAAATATGTATCTGATTAACTGTCAGTTAGAAACATTTGCCTGTTAATGGACTGATGTTTTACTTACGCAGTCTCCTCAGTCACATTCTCAAAACTGTGACAGCTTTTCAAAATCTCTCATAGTTCTCCGCCTCTTTGTTCATTACCAAATTTGTAGTGCCTTTGCTAGGCAATAGATTCCTTTATGGCCATTATGAATTTCTGTGTTGGAAAACCTTATTTCTGTCATAGATGCTAAACTATTCTTATAAGGGACAGATGGAAACTATTTTATGGGATAAGAAGTCAGTCACTTTCAGAGTGTTTTTCCACTGTAAAAAAGTACTTCACATTTAGAAGGGAGCAAATGTATAAGTGGAGCGATAATGCTGTATCTGCTCAGAAGAATCGAGTAAAGGAGGGAGTTCAGCCAGAGCCTCTAGAGCACGCTGTGGGGCTCTGATTCCTCTGGAAGAACCTAATGCCTTTCAGCATGCAGTTTCTGCATCATTCTTTATCCTCTCATTCAGTTTTACTGAACTTGGGTATGAAATCTGTGTTCTTGCAGTTTTAACTCCTGAAGCAGATCAGTTTTAACTTTGAAAGTATTAATGCTTACAACCTTACAAAAAGTTCCTGTGCAGCATCCCAATTCAGTGGTTGCTGCAGTGGGTTTCTCACAGCAGAGTTGGAAATGTGTTCAAAGATTGCAAGCTCCTCTCTGTTTTTCTGTTCTCTTTCGCTTGGTTGTTAATCAAAGCAAAGGACGTGATACTCTGAGTTTTTGTAAAATACAGATTTTAATAGATGCTGAGGATATTGAGGATTAATTTATTCAAAATAGTATTTGACGTGGGAAAAAGTAGGAACTGTACAAACAAGTGTGAAAAACAGCATGTAAATCTGATGAAAAGGTCTAAGTTTTCCTGCTGCTAGTTCTGACAAGTCAAYTGATTTTTCTTGGTCATTTCTTTATTGGATTCTTATTTTAAATGTCAATTACTCTGTATGAAGAGAAACTAAATCAGTCACTTTGCCTAGTAGCAAAGAAGTTATTGTTGCCTTTTTAAAACAAATCTGTGGGAGTTTGAAACACAGTAGATGGAMGAATTACTGAAAACTGAGGAATAGCACAGCACACAGGAGCAAGCAGATGTTAACTGGGCATAATGTGTCTGACTTGCTATTGTGAAAGATTTCTAACCAAAACAKCAGTAAAACTGCTGAACAGACTTAGCAGAATGAGGGCAAATTAATAAAGTTCTTTTAATAAAGGATTTGGTAGGTTTWTGAAGGGATTAGATGATGCAGGGAACTGGAATCAAAACCCCAGGATGCCTAAACTCTACTCTTTATGACTATTTTTACATTTTAACTCCCCCACAAGGCTTAAGTTGGTTCTGGGCATTTACTTACTTTGTTTGTTTGCATTAAGATTTGCGGTGGTGGGGTATCTGTGTCTATGTGGTTACTCATAGTCTCTATTTCAGAATTGTTTGATAGGAGGAATTGTTCAAAGTCCTGCACAGTAGCAGGGCTGCAGAGCATTTGCACGGGGAAGGCAATTTCTTTTGCAAGGGAAGAAGAGTGTCCCCTGTGTTGCAAACTGTCCTGGATCAGGTGTCACMGCACACTACAGGCCTACGCTCAGATTTCCATGCCCACAGACAAGCTTTCTTTCTCAGCTGGCTCACTGAGAGCAGTAATTGTGCTGTGACAATACACCAGATCTAACTTTCCTGAAAAAAAACAAAACTTTCCGTTACATTGAAAACACCAGGACACAGAATGAAAGCAAAGTCCTATTCTCGTGGCTGGTACAAATTTGTTAAAAGTATTTCTTTGGTTAACTTTGTACTGGCAGGCTTAATGCCAGATCAGGTATCATCTTGTTCTCTCCATTCTAATTTTGTGCTGGATCAGTTACCCTCTGTTCTCCTGCAGCTGGCATAAAACACATAAAGGTGGCATGAACTCCGTTTCTTTTTGATGTTAAATGTAGTCGTTTGCCTGAGGCTGAATCCAGATCAAATTGGCACCGCTGAGCAATCCAGTAGAGCAGAGGTGCTGTGCARATAATCATGGGATCTAGCCCTTAAATAAGGTATATGCTGCTGCASAGAAACAGTTCCTTCATGGAGAAATGGCAAGGAAGGAGCTCCCTGCTTGTTCCCTTGTGTCTGTGGGTATGGCAGTCTGCTCACTGATATTATAGGAATTACTTACTCCCTATTTTTATCCTTGCCTAAGAATTTTGGTTTTGTATTCTTGTTCTTAAATCTTTCTGCTGWTGGATTTCTTAGCTCCTTGCCTACACCAGAGAATTTTGCAGAACTACTTCAGAGTTTCTCAGCAGTCAGGTCCAGCACTACTGAGACAGTTTGTCTCAGTTCTGTGATGGGGTTTGATATTTTTTGCAGTTTTGTTTCCTTTGCTGCTGCTGTGTAGGACACTTGTTTGTGTTGCAGACAGAAGAATACTTGGGGATGAACAGAGATTGTGGTGAGGAGGATGTTTTTAGTTCTGCATCTACAAGTGAAGGAAGCTTGGATGTAAGTACTAACATGGCTTGTAGGTGCTATTGCATTCCTATTAGCTGCTGCAGTTTGAATTAACCAGAAACCACTGCTGTTCCTGATGCCTAGCCAAGTAGAGTAGAAATAGCTTATGCTGTAGCAGGCTTCATTATGTGAGTGCATAGTTTGCATATTTTCATGAAGTTTAAATGTAATGCGTTGTCTTCAAATAAAACTTGCTAGCTTCACTATAAAAAGAAGTTTCTTTCAGTATTAAATCCTAAGCAGTTGTGAGAAAGAAGAACACAGGTGTTGTGACATGCAGTGACAGTACTGCATGATGCAAGAGAWTGTTTCCCTTACCAACAATACTGAAAAGGGACTTTTCTTATAAAGCCACACCATTCCTTTTCATCCCTGTATCTAATTTCTGCAGCATGTCAGCATTCTGTCTGTTTCCTAAGGAGCTTGGGRGTGAGGAGTAAACCCTGGAAAAAATTGATAGGATTTTTGTGAAGTACTTCCATCAGGTTTGGGTTACTAAAATCCTATGAACTACATTTAGAAACATTTTTAGGTGACTGACTGCCTCCCAGTCCTCCACTGCCTCATGCTTCCCATGAATGGGAAGATACCAAATTAGGAAGTGTGAATCCAAAATATTTACTAAGGCAGTTCTGAGGGAACATTAATCATAATGAATGGCACATCTCTTTTTTACTTTTCTTAATTACTTGTCTTTTTGTTGTTGTATTTTCAAAACCTGGAGAAGACTCTGATGATGTGATAGAAACCTGAAATATGAGGTTCAGCTCTGAATTCCCCTTCCATAAACAGACTTTTGGAGAAGGAGTGTGGATCTGCAAAATATAGAAATCATTATAAAAGAAGTGCCACAGAAAAGGGTGACAGGAAATTGTGGAAAAAATAGAGGAGTAAGAGAAAAAATCCCAGATAAAAAGAGTAAAATAAAAGCAGTCCAAGTGGAGAAATACACAGAAAATTGATTGGTTGTGAAATGTGAAAGCACCAAACTGCAAATCTGTGAAGACTTCATAATGAAAAATTACTGAAATGGGAAAGCTGTTTATGATACTTAAAATTTGGGCAACACTATAAAGATGAATAGATTGMTAGATTTCTCTTGCTAAAACAAAGTCCTAAAGAGAGTGATTATGTGTAATTGAAATAAACTAAGTATAGGAAAAGCATCATAAACTCTGCCAAAATAAAATCAATTTGTGGTTTGTATCCACTACCATTATAAAGTAATTTCAGTATCTTGATACTCAAGTACTTGAAAAGAAGGAAGAGGAAGAGTAGAAATTACAGGTGACAATGTGATGGTAAAGGTGTGTAGTGCTTTCCTCAGAAGACAAATACCACCTTATTTTTCTAGGGAATTTTATAGGGCAAAGAAATTTTTTTTTTCCTCTGACATTGATGAAAAAGGTTTTCAAAGGTTTTCAAAACTGTTTTGAACATGTGTCTTCTAAAGGTGCAGGTCATAGGGGGCAAAGGGCTCTTGAAGAGGTAAAAACGTTTTCTTTTTMTTCAGTTAAATGAATGTGTCAGGGATTTAAAATTTTCCTGCTTTCTTCTTAAAAGGAATTAAGCTTGAAGAACAATGTGCCCCTTGTTCAGTGTTTATGTCTTTCACTTCTGGTTTGACACCTGTATTTTATGAGCACAAATCCTGCTAAGGCATGAGCACATAGTTAAATGAATGTGTTGACATAGTTCCATTGAATTTGGTGGTATTCTGTTCAAGCTAGTAAAAGGTATATTAAATACGTCTAACAGATTGACTCAGCAGCACAGAAGGTCCATCCTTTCAAGAGGCTAAATGTGCTTCAAGATAAAGTTCAACAATTGCGATGACTTACATGAAAAATTCTAAAAAGTTGCAAACTTGGCATAGATAGTTGACATAGATAACTTGTATTGGGATCAAATTCAARTAGAAACACCAGTGAAAGCACTTCATAGTTTTAAAAGTTCAGCTTAGCAGTACTTTATGGACTAAATTTGAGACCCTCAATCATTCTGAGTCATTTGTTACTCTGCTTGTTCAAAAGATAACTCGTTTACTTCAGTGGAACTAAGTRTCCTTATTCCAACAAAGTGGGATCTTACATGACCACATATGTGAAATTTTTATTTAGAGATCATTATATACAAGTTTCATTGCTGAGATAGGRCTGTTGGCAAAATGTCATCCAGTAGAGGCTTCTTCTTTTGCACTTACCTCAGGTCTGCTTTCTAGTACTGTCTGGGGTCATCTGAAAGTATTTTGCTTTTGCTGTGGGAGAACCAAAGGCAGTTTCAGTTTTATTTCTGAAAGAAAATTATCTTGCCGTTGCTTTTTGTACTGTTCCAGGAGTTACATTGACTGGATCAAGAAAATTTTTCTTGTCTGTTGAGAAAAGGTTAACTTGTGAAGTACTATTGAGATAAAGGCATGAACTTTCATATGCTTAGTTTAAATCCTTTTCTCACTATTACGTGGTGTTGATGTGCACTGAATTGTAGAAAAGAAAAAAGTAATRATTCTGTTCTGGSTATTGATTTGGAKTTGGTTTGTTTCTTTTTTTAAACTGGGCAATATGAAGTAATGGAATAGAAGTGTAACAAATAAGAACCCCTTAAGTGTTTATTCAAGCACAAGTTATATTCATTTCTTAACAACCAAGGCATTCTCAGTGCCATATTTATCTAATTATTACTGGAATTATTAGTGCCTCTAAAAGTACTTCCGGTTGTTGATGAAGAAGTAGATTTTCAAAGTCAAGATGGCAAAGTCAACACTTACGCTTGGGGTGAAAGGACATTCTTTTCACAGTACCAGCAAAAATAAAGGTGAAAAACCAAAAATTTGTTAAGCGCTTAGAGAGAGGGTGTAGAAATGCAAGAAAATASTTCTCCATTAAAGTCCCCAAAGTGCAGCTGTTCATAACACCACACATCTGTAAAGGACACAAAATCCAACAGTATGTTGTAAATGAAACAGAAATCCCTTCCTTTAGTCTGGGGCGAAAAAAAAGTCAGTTTTATGCTAAGCAGATGTGTTTTATATCCAGGTTAACTTTTCACAAATCAAGTGCAATTGAAACACACAAGATACAGATACAGCAGCTGGAAGTTGCAGCGCATTTAGCTTTATTCAGCTTTTTCTGTGCCGAAGGCAGACTGTCAGCGTTGGAGTTCAGAACAGCTGGAAAAAAAAGGGAACCTGAGTCATGTCTGCCGCTTGGTGTCACTGTCCTCATAGAAACAGTTGATCAAGATAAAACACAGTATTTGGAACGCAGTACTAAAATTAGCTGGTTTTATTTTTGGGGCATTCGTGTTTTCATAAATCAAGAGTGAAAAAACACATCCCAAGTGCTGAACGATGTGTAGCTGTGATGTGGACTTTGTTTATGTAATATATCAGCTTGGGAAAAAATATTTAGAAGTACAGCCAGGAACACTTATCAGAGGTTTTGAAACTTCAGCACAAAGTCTTATCACACAAGGTTTCTCCMGTTCAAACAGGGCTTCAGCAGTGCAGTGTTGGAGGTTTTTCATCAGCACTTCATCAGCACCATTTTTAGTGTGTGTCAGAATGCAGGTTTTGCCCATAACAGAATCATTTCATGAAATAAAGTCTGTCATGCTATGATTATGTTCATATGCAACACTACAAGAGAAAAAGAAACATGTAGTTTAAAATGCTGAACAGTTGTCAGCTATGTTTAGGATATGTATGTGGAACTTTGTTTTTTATTTTTATTTCATAGTACTTTATTTCAGAGCTTATTTCACAGTCCTGATTAATTGCAAGATTATGCTCTAGGAGAAAAGTGCTAATATTTGATAAAAGTCATCAAGAATTTCTGTGCATTAATAATCTTGGCAATCATTTCTTAATTGATAGCAACAACTCTTTTCCATATCAAAGCTTTTAAAATATATATGRTTTACCCTCTTGGAGCCTTGTACTCTTATGGCCTCATTGATGGCAGGAATTACACCATTCATGATCACTTTCTCAGTTCAGAATGGTTGGAAAGAAGGATCGCTGTGGTGTAGAGTTAGGTGAGTGTTATTTCTCTTCAACCWTGTCAGTTGATCAGGCAATACCCTTTCCTGTCAAGGATTTCGTGTCACATAGGCAGGTACTGTTTAGGGCAACAGGAATGAGAATGCTGCCTGTGCCATCTAAATGAAAGTGAACAGCCATTCAGTTTTAATATTTCCTTGTGTTTGGCAGTCACATTTATTTTAAATTCCTGGTTTCATGTTCTCTTTTCTTTGTCTCCAGACTATAATTGGGCTGTGTTTATTTGTTATTAGCAGGGACAAATCCTGGGATASTCATGTTGCATTTTGTTCAGTTAGAGCTGTCTGTCTTCACTGTCCAAGATGTAAGTTGTGACCTGGCCTTGAAAGAGTTTTGTTCAGTGTGATTTTGTTTGCAAAATACAAAACTCAYCAAACTGAGTATGGAAAGTTGTCTAAACACTGCAGCTGACAGGTCTGTTCCCCCAGTCTTTCATTAAAGGGTTCCTCTAAGCCAGCAGTTAGATGCCAGAGGATGAAACRAGGGAAGATATAATTATAAATATTTTCGTTTGTGCAGCTGTTCACATGATCAGAAGAAAAGGAGATCTATTTAATACCATATATCTYAAGATAATAAGGTTCACCATCACAGTAGAGTTAGTTTTGTTTTGATAGCCTGTGATACACTGTGGAAAAAAAAAATCATTAGTGTTAACTTGCCTTGGAAAGACAAAAGGYTTGCCTAAGGCTTAGGTTGGTACTGAGAGAATTTCAGAAGGTAGTAAAAATGCCAATGATCTTGTCTACTGAGGGCAGGCCAGGAAGAATGTGCTTTATATATAGCAATAGAAATTTAACTTGGATATGAGAGGGAGAAAAATTTGACTGCATGGAAATTTCACAGGGGAGCATATTATTAAAATGGCTATGAAATCCTTATCATCACCTAATCTGCAAAACCTCAAAAACTGTCTGGAGGATGAGCTACA